CCTCTAGCGCAGCGAGGGCGCCGGCTCCGGCGTGTTAGATTAGTTTCTCCTCGCGTCCTAATTGGGATTCTTGTTTTCTCTAAACACCGCGCGCAGTCATCCCACGTCCTCTCCTCTTCGCGCCCACTCCTCCTATCATCGTCATCATCAGCATCATCAACAGAACCAGCAGCAATCATAATCTTACTCGCCATCGTCACTACGGGCTATCGGAACCCTGCAACCTTCGACACTTTTGGCCTCTGGAGGCCTGAGCGTGGAGGAAGTATCAAGCGGCAGCTTCGTCTGCGAGCGAATTGCGAGGAAGTCTCAGGCGGGGGCCGCCTCCCTGTAGGGCCCGCAGGTCACGTTTGCAGTCCGAGCGGGTCATCGGGAAACTTGTAGCTGTGGATCTCGAGGAAGTATCCAGCAGGGGCCTCGTCTGTGAATGAATTGCGTGGAAGTCCCAAGCGGGGGCCCCCCCACCAGTGGGCCCGCAGCTCAAGTTTGCAATCCGAGCGGGTCATCGGGAAACTTGTAACTGTCGTGACTGCTAGGCCCCTGGGGTCTGCATATGGGGGAAGTATCAGGTGGGCGCCTCGTCTGTTAATGAGTTGCGAGGAAGTCTCGGGCGGGGGCCTCCGCTCTATGGGGCCCGCAGCTCGATTTTGTAATCCGAGCGGGTTACCGGAAAACCTATGACTGTCGTGACTTTTGGGCCCCTGAGGCCTGAATATGGTGGACGTATCGGGCGGGTCCTCGTCTGTGAATGAATTGCGAGGATGTCTCAGGCGGGGGCCTCCGCCCTATGGGGCCCGCAGCTCATGTTCGACATCCGAGGCGGGTCATCGGGGCACTGTAACCGTCGTCACTTTCGGGTTCCTGGGGCCTGAGCATGGAGGAAGTTTCAGGCGGGAGCTTCGTTTGCGAAGGCATTGGGAGGGCGTCTCAGGCGGGGGCATCTTCCCACGGGGCCCGCAGCTCATGTGTGCAATCCGAGAGGGTCATCCCCATGCCAGTAACTGTTGCAACTTTTGGGCCCCTGAGGCCTGGATCTGGAGGAAGTATCCGGCGGGGGCCTCGTCTGTGAATGAATTTAAAGGACGTCTCAGGCGGGGGCCCCCTCTCTATGGGGCGCGCAGCTCATGTTCGGCATCCGAGGCGGGTAATCGGGGGCCTACAACAATCGTCACTTTTGAGCTCCGGAGGCCTGAGAGTGGAGGGCGTATGAGGCGGGAGCTTCGTATGTGAGTGAATTGCGAGGAAGTCCCAAGCGGGGGCCGCCTCTCTATTGGGCCCGCGGCTCACGTTTGCAATCCGAGCGGGTCATCGGGAAACTTGCAACTGTCGTCGCTGCTGGGCCCCTGGAGCTTGGATCTGCATGAAGTATCTGGCAGGGTCCCCGTCTGTTAATGAGTTGCGAGGAAGTCTCAGGCGGGGGGCCTTTGCTCATGGGGCCCGCAGCTCATGTCTGAAATCCAAGACGGGTCATCGGAACCTTGTAATTGTCGTCAGTTTGGGGCTCGTGGGGTCTGAGTTCACGCGGCAAAGCTCGGGGCCGCGCGCCGCGCGCCGCTCGGGGTTCACCGCGGCGCGCTGTCGCAGGGCCAGACGCTGCGCAAGGGCGTCGCCATCGACTGCGCGAGGGGCGAGGACGCATGCCGCGCGGCCGCGTTTGACGACCAGGGGCGGACTGCACCTCCACATCATATTCTCCCGCGCCACGCGCGAGCGGAACGCGCTGATCCCGCGGCCGCCGCCGCGACAGATCCAAGTGCGAGGGCCGCCGGCATCCTTGCAGAGGGCGCCCCGGAGTTCGATATCAGAGCGCAGGGCAGAGGCGGGGCAACTCGTGGCAGAGCCGGGCTTCGCGCTGCCCCCCGCCCGAGCGCGGCGGCGCCCAGCTCGATGCCCGCGGGGTTGCCCTGGCGGCTTGGTCTCGCGCGCCAGCTGCTCGCGGGGTTGCCCCGACGGCCTGGCCCGCGGGGTTTCCTTGACGGCTGCGGCGCAACGTGGCAATTGGAGATTGCGCCCGCGCTGGCTGAGGCAGCGACGGCGCCGAGGGAAATCGACGCGCGCGCTCGCGCAAGGAAACGCAACTGAGCAGGGCGCATTCCACGTTAAACATCAGCCGTCGCCAATGGAGAAGGCCTGCCTTTTTCTTCAGGGCAGGGCGGGTCGGGCCACTGCGAGCCAATGCGATTAAGGATGGGGCCGGGAGAGAGGAGGGGCAGCGCAATGAACCAGACAGCCGGGCACGTGGTGTCTGGAACAACGCGTTTCTTCGACGCCAGACAACCGGGTACAGGGTGTCTGGAAAAACGCGTCTCTCATCCAGTGCTGTTACTCTCTCGCTGGCAGAGGAGACGCTCGGCGCCTCCTCGGGCCAGCGACTGCGCTCCGAATCTACAATCGCGGGACTGATGAATAGATCCTTAACCCGAGGACTTGACCAGCAGGGGCGAGGGAGGGGCGAGAGAGGAGGGAAGCCCTGGAGCTCGCGCCAGTCTCTTTTTCACATCAATCCACGTCTGGCAACTGGTTGCCTCAAGGAGGCCATCTCGCTAAAAGAAGGGCTGGGTGAATGGCAACTCGACTGCGGCCCTGGCGAGGCGGATCGCCTCAGAAGCTCCCAGGAGCCAGGAAACGCGACTGAGCAGGACGAAATCGATGTAAAACATCTGCCGTCACCCATAACCCATAACATGATTCACGGGAGGGTGGGTTTGGGCAGATTTCTGCGATTCGCAGCGTCGAAAACCAACGAGACGGAGGGGCGGAACTGTCAAGATCGAGACTGAAACTGGGCACCAGCAGCTCGCAGCAACAAGTGCTCGAGCCTGCCTGAAACACGTTTGAAACAGCTCTGCTGCCCAATTAAAAAACTCACTTGCCTCAAGAGACGGCCCTCCTTGCCGCGCCGCGCCGCTGGGCGGTCGCTCAGCCGGCCGCCCCGCTTCTTCAGCACCGCGAGCGTGGCGGAGCCGTTGAGGTAGTCGAGAGACGGGCCTCCGCGCCGCAGCGCACGCGGCGACTTGAGCGCGGCCGGTCCCAGGTCGCGGCAGGCCGCCTGGCTTCCCAGAAGAGGCGCTCGCAGGTGGAGAGCGTGGGCCCATCGAACAGCCGCTGGACCCGGCGCGCCTTAGCCCGGGCCGCGAGTTGCCGAACCAGCTGCCAGGGCCAGCCGCGAGACGGGTCAAGCGAGCCAACCGTCGCCGCGTCGTTGAACTTTTGGTTTTTGCTCGGCCGTTGAGACCTGCCTCCAGAAAGGGCCGCAAGGAGAGCCACTTTGTCGCAGCGGCCGCCGGCCCTGCCAGAGGGCAGCGCGAGGCGCTCGACCGAGAGGCCGATCGCCGCGTCTGACCAAAGGTAAATGTCGAATTGAAGCGCGCCGCAGGCTGCGGCGAGAACGGTCTCGGTCGCGCCCTTCTCGAGCCAATGGTCGGCGATGGCGCCGGGCGCCTCCCGCGGGCGCGGGTCCCGGCTGAGCTCCGGGCAGGCCTTGGACCAGCCAGCTCGCGCCTTCGCGGCGCGCGGCAGGTTGCGCGAGGGCACCGCGATGCCGCGCAGGTGGGCGCAGCCGACCAAGGCGCGCTGGCCTGCCCAAGGTTCGCAGCCGTCGAAGAAAGAGAAAGTCAAAGTAGGTTAAAGCCTGGCGTCCAGCTGCTGCATCGGCGCCAGCGCGCGAGGTGGAATCTGCTGGCTGGCCCAGTTGACGAAGTCCGCCGAGCGCGATTCGTAGTTCAAGAGAGTGCCCTTGCCTACGGTCTTCCGCTCCAGAAGCCGTTCGCCAGGGTCGTGTCCAGCAGCGGCCCTCCGGCTGGCAGCCTTAGCAGCACGTCGCCGATTTCGATCGGGTTGCTGCTCGCCGCGGCCCCACCCAGACCGGCCTCTGGCCCCAGTGCTTGAGGGCGTGCTTCTAAGGGCTCTCGTAGCACCTCGGGCAGACGGGCCGGAACACGTTAGTTGGGGCGGGGCAACCGCGGGCTCGCGCCAGGTCAGCTTCCCATTTCTCCAGAGAGGCGGCATCGGCCCCGCGGGCCGCGATCGGCGCCGCCCGCGCCAAAATGGCTGCCCAAGAACGGCACAATAGAAGAGGATAACGCCCTGCCAGATCGGTCTTCCAAGTCCAGCGCCCCTGGACCTCCAGGGGTCCAGGAGGCAGAAGTACTTTCCCTTTCGAGAACAACATGCTGATGGTGCCCAGGGCGCAGGCGATGCAGCCTGCGAAGGGCCTCCATATTTGTGGGGAAGAGAATCGGCTTGAGATATGCCGCTCCGTATGCACAGCTGTCGTACCGGACAAAGAGAACGCGTTCTGGGTCTCCAGCTCTCCCCTACGGGGCTCCCAGTTGAACGGCCTTGAGCCCATTGAGGAGCGCGGATTCTCGAGTGAGTGGAGGACGCCATGCCGCCCACAGAGTTTGATGAGGCCCAGCGAGAACTTAGCAAGCCGAAGGCTCCCGATAACTGCAGAGCTCGAGCCCGCGGCGCGGGCCCTCGACCAGGCCGTGCATGGGGCCCCCAGGTGCAGGTTGCGCGCGGCGGAGAGCACGGCGGAGCCGGAGAAGATCTCCAGAACAAATTGATGTTGAGACGGCGGGACGGAAGGGCCCTCGATTATCCGAGCAGTTCGTGAGCGAGGCCCCCGCCGTCTGGTGCGCTGGTGAGGTCGCGCCGCGCTCGGGGCAGATGGAGTGGCAGAGTGCCAACGAAGCCCCATGCGCCCGAAGTGCGACCGCCGCCCAGGGAGGTGCCAGGCCCTCGCCCCTCGCGGGGGGCGCATCCGCTGCTGACGACCGCGGCCCCATGCGCCCAAGGCCGGACCGCGAAGGAGGCGGTCGGCAGACCCGAGTCCAGGTCTGGGCAGCGGGCGCGTCCTGGGGCAGCTCGACCTGGGGGGCCTTTGAGCGGCGCTGCAGCACGGCCCGCCCGTGGCGGCTGGCGACGGATGCGCCGCGAGCCAACTCGCCCCGGTCAGCCGCCCTCGAGTCGATGTCGTCCTCTTACGTTCGGCGCACCGCAGAAACCAATCGAGCTTGCAGCCGATGGACAAGGCTCCAGCTCGCGGGCAATGCCGCTGCAGGGCGAAGCTGGACGAGCGCCCCTTCTCGAAGCTGCAGATGCTGGACAGGTTGCCCCCGATCGAGAGGACTCGCCCCCAACGTAGCGGGGCGCGCCTCGAGGCGCGGACCAGGCCCATGAGCAGCGCGCGGCCCTCCATCTCGTGGATGACTCCGTCGTGCTGCCACGAGCCCTTGATGACCATGGCCCAGCGCCCTCTCGCCTGCGGCGCGTCCGGCAGCGGCGGGGCCCCCGCCTCCTCAGCCGCGCGCGCGACCGACTCGATGTCGCGCCACGGTCGGCAGCGAGCGGGGGCCGCCGCCCAGGTCACGAGGCCCTCGGCCGAGGGGCCCGCTGGGGTCCGGCCCCGCGGGGCCCCAGCAATCGTCGCTCCGCTCCACGGCGTCGAAGCGCCGCCGCTCCCGGCATAGCGCGCCACGGCTCGAAACTCTGGTCCAGAAACGGAGGCGACGTGCAGCGCGTGCCCGACGGCGGACGAGCCCCCGCAGAAGGCGACGCTGGCGGGCTCTGCGCCGAGGCGGGCCTCGGCCAGGAAGAGGAGCCAGGGCGAGACCTCCAGCTCCCATCGAACGGAAGCCCACAGCGGAGCCTGCCTGCCGCCGAACTCCACCATGAAGGACCACGCCTTGTCGAGCGTCGAAAGCCCGAAGCGCAGCAGCTGGCAGCGGTGCACGACGTGGCCCACCAGCACCTGCAGGACGAGCCCGCTGCATCGGCCACGCCGAAGGACGGCGCGCAGAGCCAGATGAAGCATCCAGGTCCGACGAGGCTTAAGTCGGAGAAGACGGCGACGGCCGTCCACCTCAACACCCAGGAGCTCGAGCGACTCGGCGGGCGCGTTCTCCTCGCGGTAGTGGAGGCCGCTCCCGTCAAGGTCGCCCTTGATGGCGTCCGGGGCGCGCTGCGTGGCGACCCGGCTGAGCCCGACGACGTTGGCGTTCTTGACGCACTGCAGCCGGAAGGCCAGTCCGGGCTGCGGCGCCTCGGGGGCGCGGCGGTCCTGCAAGAGGCTGGCTGCCGAGCTGCCCGCGGCGGAAGTGATGGCGCGGCAGCGCCCGCGACCACCCCATCGGCAGCCCATCGAAGACCGGGAAATGCATCTCGTCGGGGCCCGCCCCGACGAAGCACTCCTGTTCCGCGAGGAAGATCTCGCTGACTCCCCAGACGTCGGCCTGCTCGGCGAAGTCGACTCCAAACAGCGAGCCCAGCTTGCGGTTGGGGAACTGGCAGTGGCCGCGGCACAAGTCGACCGAGGCCGCGCAGACGTCGAGCGGCTCGCTGGGGCCGACCGAGCTGTCCGAGAGGTCGAGGGAGCTGAGCGCCGCAACAGTGCCTGGCCGCTCTGGTGGAGCGCCGAAAGTCGAGCAATCCGAGCTCCCGAAGTCTTGAGAGCAGACGGAAGCGCTCCTTCCTGGAGAGGCGCAACGTCGGATCCCAGTCGGGCGAGAACGGCAGCTCCTCCTGGTTCGCGCGCTCGAGGTCGGCGCTGTCGCGGAGGATGCGCTTCTCCGGGTCGGCTGGCATCTCGCGCTGGCCTGGCGGCGCCAAGTGCAGGACGTCCCGACAAGTGATGTCGCACTCGAGAATCTTGGCCCGCTCGTGCGCGCGCGATCCCAGGTGGCTGGGCTCGAGGCCGCGCAGGTCCTTGGTGCGCAGGAGCTCCTTGAGGGCCCCTTGCTCGCTGAGGTCACTCGGCGCCGCCCAGCTGCCACAACTCTTCGCGCCGCCCACTCAAAGACCGATTGGCTGCTCGGTCCGAGGGGGCGCTCTCCCGCTGCACTTCGCCCCCGCCCAGCTGGGCGAAAGGGGCGCGACGGTCCTGCGTTCGAGGCGTTGAGCGCCCCCAGCGCCGAGTGGATCCGCCGCTCGCGGCTCGCCCGTCTCCGGGGCCTTTGCCGACTGTAGCGGGGCAGTCCGCGTAGTTGAAACCGAACGTGTTCACGTGTCAAAACTGGGAAGGGCTTTCCATGCCGTCGGGCGCCCTTCTCTTCCCCGGGCATGGCGACGCCGCCGCGTGGAGCGAAGCGCTTGTGGGCCCAGCACCGAGCGCGGCGACGCCTCCAGTCGCGGGGGCTACTTGGCCCCCGCGCCAGGCTGGTTATCCGTGTCCGCCCGGCCCTTCTCTTCCACTTCCCTCTCCTCCCGCCGCAGCCGCTGCTGCTTGAGGAGGAGGCCCTCGTCCTCCTGTCGCTCCGCCACCCACTCGGCGAAGTTCCTCGTGGTCTCCTCGCCGCCCGTGCCGATCGGATGAAATGATGACCTCGAGCGCCTCGAAGTCCGGCGACTTCGGGTTCCGCCGAACTGCCGCCTCGATCTGGACCAGCCTCCTGATATGCATCTCGCCCGAGAGGCCGCTGGTCAAGTCGCACTGGTCCACCGTCTGCGCCACGAACAGGGCGCCGCGCAGGTGCTGGCGCTCCCGGGCAAGGCCCGACTTCGGCGAGACGCCGCTCTCGGCCTCCCAGGCCAAGTTGTGGGTCACGAAGTTGAAGCCGACGCGCAACTGGCTCACCATGCGCTCCTCGGCAGCCTCGGGGCCCTCGAAAGACTCGTGCAGCATCCTCTTCTTGCTCTGCTTCTGCGTCGCCTCGTCGGGGTGGAAGAACCTCGTCCCCCGATGATCGCGGACGTCCCCGAGCAGCCGGAGATCGCGCCCTGGGCCGCTCCGCTTCTCCGACAACCAAGCCTCCAGCTTGTCGTCGACGACCTGCTGGATCAGCGCGCTCTCGTCGTCGATCGTGACCCAGCCGACCTTCCCCCCCAAATTGCAGCCCTCCTGGTCCCGGAGAACCGCCAGAAGCACGATCTCCCCGAAGGCCCGGCGCGCCGTGTCCGCGACCCGCCGCGTGGCGTTCTCCACTGCGGCCGGCCCAGCGGCGGGCCTGAACCCGGCCAGGTGGAAGCCCGCGACCTCCGCGAGCTCGCGGGCCTCGGCCCCGATGGGAGCCAGCTCGCCCTCGTCGAGCTCCTCGTCGAAAACGAACGCCTCGCGCAAGTGCTGCGGGTCGATCGGCTCTCTGCGTTCTACGTCGAAAGATCCGAATTCGGCGGTTCTAAAAATCTGCGACCTGGCCCGCCAACGTCGGAGAGCGGGCGATCCATCTCCCCTGGCCCCCAGGGATGAGTAAGATGCGGGCGTGCCCGTGCAGCCCGTTTTCGTCTTCCAAGGAATTGACCATGACCTGTTTCTCGACTATGTCGAGCGCTCTACGCCGCGCCATTCCTCAACCGCAGAGCGGTCGGCGTCGCGACCGCGGGGTTCATGTCTGGGAGAGGCTCAGCTTCAAGATCTGCGGGCAGACGCCTCTCGCGCCGCTCTCCGAGTCGCTCAAGGCAGGATCCGCCGACGCCCCAGCGCAGCGCCATGGCGCAGAGGAGCAGGATGAGCAGCCGACGGAGCTGGCAGATCGCCTCCGGGCAGTCTGGGCAGGCCGCCCGCGCCGGGCACTCGGCCGCCGGCGCTCGCCCGCGCGCAGCCGCCGTGAGCTCGCCCGCCAGCTGGTTGCAGGCGCTGGTGCCCGGGCAAAAGGCACCTGGACAGGTCGGGCAGCGCTGCTCTGGGCGGCTGAGCGAGACGTCGGGGCACCGCTGCCCGAGCCCCGAAAGATCGCGGGCCACGGCCCAGAGAAGGTGGAGGGAAGCGGCGGGCCCCCCCCCCCAATGTACAGGGGGCCCTTCACTGTGAACTAATGCGTTTAAGGAGGGGGCCAAGAGAGAGGAGGGGCGGTGCAATGAGCCGGACTGCCGGGCACAAGGCGCCCGGAAAAAAAATAAGCGTTTCTTCGACGCCAGACAACCGGGCGCAGGGTGTCTGGAAAAACGCATTTCTTCTACAGTGCGGTTACTCTCGCTGGCAGAGGAGACGCTCGGCGCCTCCTCGGGTCAGCAACTGTGCTCCGAGTCTACAAGTGTGCGACTGATGAGTATACCTATATATATATATACACATAAAGAACAACGTCGGTTACGTGGATTGGGCGCGCTCGCCGCGGATCCCGTTTTGTTTTTCCTTGCGCGAGCCCGTTGCCCATAGCTCCTGATGACTGAGCCATTCGCCGCGCTGTAACGACAGCCCTTCTCGTAGGCCCCCGTGAGTTTGATCGGGCAGTGAGTGCCGGCGCGTGGGGGCCCAACTGTGTTGTAGGCTCCTGAATGCACATTAACAACCATGGTATCCATCCCACTTTAAAGCTCCTCATCGGTACTTCATTGACTTCGTTGTCGGGGCCCTCCATCTCCACTGCCTGTAGCCCGTCGCATTTTTGCATCCGAAGTTTCTCTTGCTTGATGCGCTCCGAAATGAGGTTGCCCAAAAGGGTGCCGCAGTTGCATCTGCGCGCTCACACAGCGCGCGCTCCCTTTTGATGCCAAACCTGGCGTCCCGGCCCCTCCTCTTCGTCACCTGGCACTGTCGCGCAGTGCGCGCCCCCTTTTGATGCCCAACCTGGCGCCCCGGTTCCTCCTTTTCGTCACCTGGCACTGCGCCCTCCGCCCCCATTGCCCCCCAGATTGCCCTGATGCTTCGGGTTCATCGGCGCCTCCACCCTTGTCGGTAGCCCCGCCCGCATCGACGCCATGACACCCCGGCCCCAGCAGAGGTCGTCGCAACATCTGCGTAGGATTTCCGGGGTTTTCTGCCCGCGCTGACCCGGAGTAATCTCATTGGTGCTCCTGGGGCAGCGGGCTGCGATGCGACCCCGTTCGCCGCATTCGCCGCGCTTCCGCTGATCGGCGCAACTCGTCCTTTGAGTCTTCCTTTCCAGCCCGGGGCTCGGCGCCCTCAGCAACTTGCGGGGGCCTCCTTTGTAGCCTCCCTCTGCGCAACCCCCGGGCAAACCTTGGTGCCATGTTATTCCCCTTAGTATCCTCTCGCCAGCACCCATTGGTGACCCTTGAGTCCTTCGCATTATCCTTTCCGCCTCCTTTTCCTCTACGGCTCCTTTGGTGGTGCAGTCCTTCGCCGCGCGCCCGTGCCTTCCACGCCTGTAGCATATGGGTCCTGTGTCCTTGCCCTTTCCTTTACTAGCTTCGCTCGCGTCGCCGTTCTCGGCGACAGCTTCCACAGTCCACGGCCACCAATTACCTACCTCGTCGCAATCAACTGCAACGTCCCCGTTGGCTTCCAAATGTGCATTGCATCGGTGTTCTTGGTTTCGGCGTCTAGCCGCTTCTTCCTTGCCCAGTTGTCGCACTCAGCGAAGAGCTTTTGGTACGTGTCGATATGCAACGACTCTTGGGTTTTCACTCGACTTGGCTGCCAGTCATCAAACCAGTCGCCTGCATGGGCCAGAGTGGTTTTCAATGCTGTAGCCCTGAATGGCAGTGGCTTCGAAGTGGCAGACGCATGCATTCCGAGTGAATATACTAACGAGCTCCACTGTTCAAGATGCACAGCCACCGCATTCGTTTCTTGTTTGTTTTCTTTGTATTATTGTCCTGGGTCCATGGTCACATTTTCATTGTACGTGAGAAGAACCCCGGTAACCACAGAGTGCAAAACGTAGATGTTCCGATTGGCAACCAAGCCGTCTCCTTCATGCAGGCTCTTGAGCTTCCCCCGGGGCTCTGTTCTCTCTAGTTTATCGATGAACGAATCCGAGATGTCCTCGTCCAACTTGGACGCGTCATCTTCATCCAACTCACACTTCCACTGTTGGTGGCGTTCCCTCCGTTTGCTTCCCGACGCTTTGATGTACTCGCTTTGTGTAAACCTCCCGTTCATGATCTTTGTCAGTTCGTCCTCGTCGTCATTAAAAAATGCCTCACGCATGGTTTCAAAAACGGTGCTCAAATTATTGGCGGTTTTCTGGTAACCGTGCATCGCTTGGGCAAATGCGTTCAACAGCTTCTTCGCTCGACTATTTGAAGTTGGCCCTGTGAACCGAGAGCGTCTTTAACGATTGAACAACATTGCAATCACTCACAAGTTCGTTTCTGCCTCCGCTTGCCGTGGCGTCACCTGCGGACGGTATTTCCTCGGCGATCTTAATACCATGTTCCGACGTGTTCGCTTGATGCTCAAACTCTTCTTCGCGTAGTCCTTTAAATCATTGAATTATTGTTCGCAATACATGTTGCGATTAGTTATGACATCCGGAACAGGTTGTACCAGGCTTCTCGTGCTTCGAGTGACGACGCAGCGTGACCCGGATCGTTGGTTCTGGGCCTCGCGGGGCAGCTGCAACTGCCGCCGCCGCCGCCCTCTCTGCTCTGGAACCCGTGGGGCGAGCCACGGGTTCCGCTACCATAAAAATCTGGTAGGAGTTCTTTTCTCACAACGCAAGAACACTTGAGACAAATCAGCAAGCAGACGATCCATTGATACTGTCAAGTCTACTACCTGACCGTTGTATGCTACACTACTGCGTGGCATCTGCTCACCCAGTCGGAACGTTATAGTCTAACACCTCGTCCTCTTCCTCCTTCTCCTCGGGCTCCTCCTCCTGCTCCTCCTCCTCCTCCTCCTCCTCTTGCTCCTCCTCCTCCCACGTGCCCTCCTCATACTCTCCTCCTGCTACTGCAAATATTCCTTCTCTTCTGTTCCTCGTCCACCTTTTGCCCTCCCCCTGATACCGCCCATAGTCCTGGTGCTCCAGCTCCTCCTCTTCCTCTTCCTGGTCTTCGTCATCCTCATCTTCATCGTCCTCTTCCTCCCGCTCACCCCCCTCCTCCTCCTTGGCCGGCGGCGTTGCCGAGGGCGGGGTTCAGGTGCCGGCCCCTCCCGTCGAACCAGCTGGCCTCGCGGAGCCAGGTCGTTGTGAAGGATAGCGACGTGCTGCGCAGCCGCTGCTGTGCTTCGCACGGCACTCGATGGAAACTAGGGCCCACCAGCAAAGTGCGGAGGCTGCGCGGGCCATTCCACTGTGGACCACGCTCGGCTACGGTCAGGAACTTCTCATTAGCGCGTTGCGCGATCCCAACGACACGCTATGTCGGATACCGTGTCGCTCCGCTCCTTGGGGCGGGAGGCTCGGGAAAACTCGAGACGGGAACGCAGATGGCGCGTCGCGCCGAAGTGTGGTGCGCCAGAACTGGCGGAGCGACACGCTGAGCCCGAGTTCCCGACCGCAGGGCCCCACCAGCAAACCGCGGAAGGCGGCGCGCGGCCTCACACCAGTGCGGACCGCGCTCGTGCCAAGCAGGTGTGCGCCAGGGAGCGGTTCTCAGCAGGGGCGGCACCTAGTGTACGGGCGCGCGCCAGGGCAGGCTGTCCGTGGCCCAGTCCTGCGCGCTCGCGCGAGAAGCGAGGGGACAGGCGAGGGGACGAGGAGGGGGAGGAGGAGGAGCAGGAGGAGGATGATGATGAGGAGACGGGCAGTCCAGCAGGTGGCCAGGGTGGCACCGCCCCTCCTCCGCCGCAGGTGGTGCCGGGCTGCGCCCCCGCCGCTTACCTCTGGGCTCCTGCGGCGCGCGGGGCGCCTGGCGCACCCTGCGCGACGCAGCAGCGGCAGGCAGCCGACTTGGGCCAGGCCTGCTGGCTTTCTCGCTGGACCACCCCAATTCGGTCTGGGTGGCCTGCTTCCGCTCTGTTTCGGTATTCTCTGTCGATCTCGGTGTTTCGTCGACGACTCGAATTAGGCTCTGCCCCCTAGTCCCCCATTCTCCTCCATGCGTTCTCCTCCTCCTCCATGCCTCCTCCTCCCCCCCCTCCTCCTCCTCCTCCTCCTCCTCCTCCTCCTCCTCCTCCTCCTCGTCCTCCTCCATGCCTCCTCCATGCCTCCTCCATGCCTCCTCCTCCTCCTCCTCCTCCTCCTCTTGTTCCTGCTCCTCCTCCTCCTCCTCCTCCTCCTCCTCTTCTTGCTCATCATCATTACCATCGGCTCCCCCTCACCACATCCGCCTCCCCATCCTCTCCCGCTCCTCCCCCTCCTCTACCACCTCTTCCTCCCCGTGTCCATGCTGCATCTTCATCCCTGCTTCTCGTGACTACCCGCCTCGTCGCACCATCAGACGCGTGGGAAGAGCATGACGGGCCATAGAAATCCCGTGCTCTAATGTTTGTCCCATCGTTCGTGTTGTTTGTGCGAGGCAGCGGACAATATCCAATCGCATCTAAGCTAATCTGCATCCATCTCCGCCATCAATTCCAGCAGTTTGCTGTCTTCCGACAAAGAAAAACGGCACCAGCACCCAGATTGCATGTGCTGAGGGTCGTGGGCCCCTCAAGATGGCGGATACGCGGGGCGGCGCGAACCTATTACATTGATGGAGTGGCGTCGTTTCCAAAACCGCGCTCCCGCCTGAGACGTCATCACAACATCAAATGCGCCCCAAGCTTGCAAGCTCGATGCCGAATTCATTACTCTGCGCAGTGTCCGTAAGGGCCAATTCCTGTGGCATTGTCCTGCCAATCAGACTCCAACCAATCTTTCCAATGCAACTCCCTGTGGTAATGCACAAGGTTCCGACCCGTCCGGCCTCTCCAAGTCCCGAAACTGCGGCAATGCAATGTTTGACCGCTATTGCATTATGCTTCCTTTACTCAGGTCCTCCTCCTTCCTCGCCATAACATTTCCTCTTTCTCGCCTTCCTAATGTGCTCCTCCCCGCCTCCTCCTCCTCCTCCTCCGCCCTTTTTTCCTCATACGTAGCTCCTCCCTGCCGCACCCCCAAGCGTGTCGATAGGGCAGCCCAGGCGTTTCGCCTGAGACTCCCTCACCAGTTTGATGACGCTGAGACTTGCCATGTGCATCGTATTCACGGATGGAGGGCGGGTCGCAATCAAACTTTGGTTCACGCCTTTAGCGCCGCGTACATTCTCTTCTAAAGTTTGCAACAGCTTCACGGATTGACGGTGGGTGAGTTTCCAAACTTTTCTCTCGCATTGGCGCCACGCACATTCGTATTGAAAGTGTGCAGCAGGTTCAAGGATGGAAGCGGGCTCTTCCAAAACTGTAGCTCTCGCCTTAGCGCCGCGAGCATTCGTCTGAAACGCATGCAACCTTTTCAAAGATCGAGGGCGGGTGCTTTTCAGCAGGTGACTCTCCCCTAAGCACCGCGCACCCTCGTCTGAACAGTTTGCAATAATTCCAAGGCAACAGTTTCAAGGATAGAGGGCGGTGCTGTTCAAACTATGGTTCTCGCCTTAGCGCCGCGTGCATTAGAATGAAGCGGTTGCAACGGCTTCAAGGAAGAAGGCGGTGGTGTTCAAAGTGTGGCCCTCGCGTTAGCGCCGCGCACATTCGTCCTAAACATCTGCAGCACCTTCAAACATGGCACGGCTGGAATTCCAAGAGTGGTGCTCTGACACAGTCACGTGGATTCGCGGAGTTGGAATCTCAAAAACTGCATTCGGGAACGATTTGTGATTGTCACGACGCAATCGTCGCTCTGATTCGCGGCGCTGAGCTCGCAGGAATCATGCTTTGACACGGTTGGGGATTCTCAGACGGTTGCCTTTCGATGTGACACTTCCCACACATGAGCGCTAATGTGTTGTAGGGATGCTTGCACAGGGAAACAGGAGGGATGGTGTAATGTAGAGCGTCTTGGATTTGCACTGGTCCTCCTCTTTCTCCTCCTCCCCCTCGATGAATGTTCGCGAGATGGGCTGGCTGGCTTCTAGGGCAGGGTCCTGCCAGGCCGCCGAGGACCTCCCCGCTATGGAAGGAGAGTTCCTGCCGGAGCTGCGCCACGCTTCATTACCTGCCATGCTGCCCTTGAGGCCGCCTCCTCCTCCTCCTCCTCCTCCTCCTCCTGCTGCTGCTGCTGCTGCTGCTGCTCGCCGCTGCCGCCTCCAGTGCGTCCGCCCCGCCAGGCTTCCGCCACTCCCGCGACGGCTGGGCAGAGGGAAGGATGGGGGGCATCCAGGCCGCGGCGGCCGATACGAAAACTGGCCACCGCAGAAATTGGAGACTGCCCATGGGTGGCCAAGGCTTGGCTTGGAAGGAGGGTGCGGGGCAGGCCAGGGGCAAGTCGGGTCAGGCAGAAGATTCGGCATTCAGCATGTGGCGAGCCCTACACGTGGGAGGACAGGTCCCAAAAAAAAGACGACGACGATGATGACCGAACGACGACACGACGACGGACGGCGGAGCAAGCAGCGACTCCCCTGCGCAGGGGCCAGAGGAGGAGGAGGAGGAAGCGGAGGAGGAGGAGGAGGAGGAGTGGAGGAGGAGGAGGAGGAGGAGGAGGAGGGGGAGGAGAGGAGAGGAGGGGAGGGGGAGGAGGAGGAGGAAGTGGAGGAGATGGCGAGGAGGAGGAGGAGGAGGAGGAGGAGAAGGAGGAGGAGGAGGAGGAGGAGGAGGAGGCGGAGTTTTTTTTTTGTTCGCCCTCCCCTCCCCGCGGAGCCCGCAGCGAGCCCCGTCCGTCCGTGCGCCAGGGTCTGGGGCGTCACCAGGGGCACCCCCACAGGGCACCCACCTGGCCGTGCCAGCCCCAAAAAGGGCCAGACCACCGAAGCACCCTCCCCTGAGTCCTGGACGCAGAGGTGTGCAGCATCACCAGGGGCGCCCACACGAGGCACCCGCCTGGCCGTGCCGACCCGAAAAAGGGCCAGACCACCGAAACCACTCCCTCCCTAGCCCACATTCAACTCCAGAGAACGCCTCTAAGAAGTACTCGCAGAGCCAGCTGGGAGCTCGCCATTGACAGTCTTCTCCAGCAGCATGGCCTCCCAAGCCCTCGTGCTCGAAGGATCACGACATTCGAGGGCATCATAAGCAGGAGCCGCCGTGCGAACCACATCACAATATATCTGGAGCTTGACATCCGTCTCTGTTACCGCAAAGATGCGACCTATTCGTCCGATGAACACACCCTCTGTAACAATGCAGAACTTGTTGATGAAAACGTCCAGGGGCCAACCCTATTGCACACAGAGGCTTCCGATACTCGGCTCATCGTAAGGCCAGTAGTCACTTCCACCAGAAAGGAAGAGTACTTCACGACGAACGGGACGAGGAACCTCAGGCAGCACTGCGCCCCGAAGCATACCCTCAGGAAGACCACGACTGCCAGCCTCCTCCTGCGCATGAGGAACGTTCGCCGCAATTGCCGCCTGAAGGCACTCCAGCTTTGCAAGAATGCTGTCCATGCTCGTACAACTGTCAGATACAGGAGGCTCGCCATCTCGGTCGGCGGACGGATGAGAAGGTAGTGCCCCCGGAACAGAACCATGATCGCCATCAGGGAGTAGAGCTGCAACACCTGGAAGAGCAGCGAGCTCAGGAAGAAGAGGAGAAACATCCGATGGGTAACCGAACAATACGTAATCCATATCACCAGGGGGAAGAGTAGGAGTGACCACTTCACAAGCGAGATCCGCACCCACCTGCACACCAGGAAGGGACCCGTCTCGAAGCTCAGTGGGAAAGACTGCAGCCTTAGCACCAGCAGGACAAAATTCTGTAGCATTGCTATTGAAGGGAAACGGTGGGATAATCGGGAAGCCCAAGGGATCAGGAAGCCACACCTGCATACGCGGCTTCTTGGCGCCAGCAGGTCCTTCACCAGGTGAGCCGCCACCACCCTCCGAGCCATCAGCACCGCCTGACGGGCCAGAAGACAGGGCGCGCCGAGGACGCCGAAAGTGTCCACCATGCCCAGCATCTTCATCACCGTCCAGAGCGTCACCAGGAAGACCTCCATCGCCAGGAAGCTGCCCGCCTGCATCAGGACGTGCTCCACGAATCAGGAACTCGACTCGAGAGTGGCCGTCGGAGTGTTTGTGGCCACGGTCCACAATGACGTGCGAAACGTCAACAGCAGCAATCCACTCCAGAGCGACACCTGCGAAGATCTGCATGCCAGCGTCCACACGAACTCCAGGGTAGACGTGCACCGTGAGCTTCTGGATGAGGGTCACCTCGTTCGTGGCCGACGTGACGACCAGTTTACAGCCAGCCGCAAGCAGTTGCCTGAGGTACGCAATGCGGGCAGCGACAACCATGGGCGACGGGAAGGCGGGGCGCAGGGGCGCCGACCAAGCACCAGCTCGGCATGTGCATGAGCCAAAATGCTTAGGAGGAGGAGGAGGCGGAGGAGGAGGAGGAGGAGGAGGAGGAAGTGGAGGAGGAGGAGGAGGAGGAAGTGGAGGAGAAGAGGAGGAGGAGGAGGAGAAGAGGAGGAGGAGGAGGAGGAGAAGGAGGAGCATGAGGAGCAGGAGGAGGAGGAACATGCTCGTCCTCGCCTTCCACCCCTTCTGGCCACAGATGCCGCCTGGGCACCTGGCAAAGCCCGTGGACTGCGAGCGCCAGGGGCCTGCCTTGGCGAGTGGCGCCCCCGTCTCGGAGCCGCAGCGCCGTGCAGCGCGAGGAGAGCCACAGGCGAGACCCTGTGCCCTGTGGGCCCAAGACTGCCCCTCGAGGCCCCAGGACTCCTCCTCCGCCTCCTCCTCCTCCAATTCCGCCTCCTCCTCCTCCTCCTCCTCTTCCGCCTCCTCCTCCTCCTCCTCCTCCTCCTCCTCCTCCTCCTCTTCCTCCTCCTCCTCCCAGGGGAACAAGAGGCGGCATGGCCACTACTTCTCGGAGCTCTTTGCGGACTTCTTGGATCGGCGCTGGACCCCCCCACTCTGGCGCGAGGAGCGCGGCAGGGGCGGCGCCGGAGGCGCCGCCAGGCCCAGCGCCGACCCGCGCGGAGCTCCGAGAAATCAGGACGTCGCACGTCTGGGGTCTCGGGAGGGAGAGCGGGGGGGCGGGAAGGAGGGCAGTAACGGGGGGGAGGGGGGGACGGCAGGCGCGTGATCCCCCTCCCCCATCCTCCTTCGGGGATTTTGGCCCAGCGCCGACCCACGCGGAGCTCCGAGAAATCAGGACACCGCACGTCTGGGGTCTGGGGAGGGGGAGAAGGGGGGGAGGATGGCAGGAGCGGGGTGAGGGGGAAGGCAGGCGGGTGATCCCCCTCCCCCATACTCCTCGGCCGCGAGGCCGCCCTGGGGGCTCCTGTGGACGGACCCACTCCTTGACGTTGCCGCCCAGCACGACGGGCGCGAAATCCGCGTCCACGAACTGCCGCCCCTCCTGCTGGCACCGCGTCTCTACGGCGACCAGCTCGGCGAGCATCTCCGCCCCGGCCTCGGAGTTTCTCATCCCCTCCTCATCCATCTCCTCCTCACCCGCCTTCTCCGCCACTGCTCTTCCCGATGAGCAATCAAGCTTTCCCCCGTCGCGTCACTAAGTGCGCCGAGAAGTCGGTCTGGTCCCTTCGCTTGAGACGCCCTCACGACTACGACCCCTGAAGCCCAACACTTACGACAGCTGCACGGATGGACCGAGGGTCCTTCTCGGTATGTCGCTCTCGCCTCGGCGCCGCGCACAGCGTCGCCAAAATCTCTAACCATTACGCGGATGGACGGCGCTGTCAAAATGTGGCTACCGCCCTAGCGATGCGCATGTTTCCCTTGAGCGCTGGGAGAAAGTACGCGACGAGGGCGTGAGTTTTACAACACGTGGCTTTGGCCGTAGATACGCGCCTTTTCACGATACCATGCCCAACGGCTACACGGACGGAGGGCGGTACCTTTTCTAGGCCGTGCTCTCGCCTGATATTCACCATATCCACACAGCTTCACATGTTAGGCAGCGTGTTCACCAACTGGTGACATATTCAACCGTGGATGTGTAAGCTATGTGGTTCAGACAGGCTGTGTAAGCTATGTGGTGCGAGCTTTGCAGTTCAAGCTATGTGGTGCAAGCTAGGTGGTGCAATCGGCGCGGTAAAGTCTGCGTGGTGCAAAGTTGTGTGGTGCAAGCTATGCTGTGTGCGCTATGTGGTGCAATCTACGTGGTGCAAGCTATGTGGTGCAAGCTATGTGGTGCAATCGACAAGTTGCTGCTGGCGGGGTCGGGGGCACCCTTGGGTCGCTCACAAGCTGGCAGCACTTTTTGGGGGGCCAGTGCGCGATGCCACCCGACCTGCGGCGCCCCTTAATCCTGACGTGTAGGCCGCAGTGGACCTTCCGCGGGACTGCCATGGAGCCCTTGACTGCGTTCGTCTCAGCCGCTCCAGCTGATGCCGCGGCATGGTCGATGAGCGAGGCCGGTCTCTTGTCGCACGGGAACTTCACGCCTGGGAGGGCGATCTCGCCACCGACGTCGCTGAGGAAGGTGCCTCGCTTCAAGGCGTGGGGCTCACGGTTCCAGCCAACAGCGATGATGCACCGACGGGGCCGATGCTGAAGCCGAGAAAGCCCGCAACGACGCCCATCTCACGGCATTGCCTCACCCGAATCCATGCCTCGGAGAGACGTAGCCGAAATTACGATGGGTTTCCCTGCTGCGAGATGCCATGCCATCGGAACCCATCCTCGGCAGATGTCTTGGCGCTGTTCCTTGAACAGCAGGGACCTTTCTCTTTTTTTTTTTCTCTCTCTCTCTCTCTCTCTTTCTCTCTCTCTCTCTCGAGTGGTGGTGGCTAGACGCTAGCGCGCGAGGATCCACTCTCCTCCGCTGTTGCAAGTCTCCGAATGACCTGGGCCCGCAAATGGGCAAGCTGCGGACCCTCGCCCATCAACGTCCAAACTTGTGCGACACGGTTGTAGACGGTCCTCCGTAACGTGCGTTCCGCGAAAGCCGCCATGCCGAGCGGTAGCTTGTTTTCTGTTTTCCACTGGGGGCCCGTGAACATGCGGGCCCCATTCGGTCGCGCGGGCGAGGAACAAGTCCGCCGCCGTGGACTCCTGCTCAGGCCAATTTTTTCTGACCTTCACCATAAGCGGGAAGCCTCGCTCGCGCGCGGAGGGGGTCTCGCGTCAACGCCAGTAGCCTGCTCATCCTGAACGACGGTCCTAGGATTGCGTGTGGATGCCTGTCTGGGCTGCGTGACTCCCGGACCTCCGTGGCACGGCGGAACGGCCGAGCGCTGTTCGCTCGGGTAAACTGTCCGCGCTGTGCTGCGCCCATCGCGTGGCGACACGGAGTCCGCGGTGTTCCTCAGAGGGCTCCCCCAGAATTTCGGCCAGCTCCGCGCGGCGACGCGACCCCTGGGACATTTCCCGACATGGCTTTTCCAAGAAAAGTTCCCACGCCAACTTCCACCGTAGGGGCGGTGGTGTCTTGCGCCTAGTTCATGTCCGCGAAAGGGTCGTGGTGCCCCTCCATGGCGCACAAGCTGGGCCGCTGCCTTCCCAGCCATGGCAAGAGCAGGGGCAGGAGGTGCGCCAGTACGACCTCGAGCAGAATTTGGCTGGGTGCACTCGGGGGCAGCGCTGGCCGCCGCCTTCTCGAGTCGGGCCCGTGCCTCCTGGACCCGACTTGCTCTGTCCGCTGCCTTCGCGTCGACAGGCCGGTTCTCTGCTGCAGCTCCCGATGCCGAGCAGCGCACAGCGCCGCGGCGCCACCTCCAGGCGGGCGGGGGTCCTCCGCCATGGGCCGCCTGCGGTGGTGGCCGAGGCCGAGATCGGCTCCTCAGTTCGCATCCCCGCCCGCCGTCCCGGCGACGCCGCTCGAGGGGGGCCTTGACGCCATCCAAGGCGCAGTGGACCTGCTGGTGGATGCTTGGCTGCGCTTGGTCCGTCGCCTCGATCCACGAGCAAGTTGGGCGCGTCCCTGAGCATGTCCTTCTCGTCGCCCTCCTCATAATTCTCGACGGTGACGCCCGCGAGTTACGCGCCGCACACCGGGAGGGTGTCCTGCAGCGGCCGCTGGAGGGTGCCCCTCGCTGGCGCCCTGCTGGGCTGGTTGTGGGCCAAGGCAACATCCTCGTGGGCCTCCCCGGCCTCCGCCAGCTTCTGGACCGAGAACTCGTAGCCATCGCGCGCCTTCTTGAGACGCAACTCGAGATTCTGGACTTTCGTGAAGTTGTGTGCGCTCGTGGCTGCCTGCTTCGCCTCGGTCTCCGTGGACTGGGGGCGCCCCGCCAGCGCGCGGGACGCGGCAGTGCTCGGGGCCTAGCTCCGCCGCCCACTTGATGGCCAGTGCCGAGTCCGATGCCGGCGGCTAGTGCTGCGCCAAGGCCCCAAGCTGACTGGAGATCTTCGTTTCGCCCCGCCAGGTGAGGATTGCGGGCGACGAAGCGACGGGGTTATGCGCCTTCTTGGGGTAATGGTAGAGCTGCTTGCCTTGTCCACAGACTCTGCACGCTCCCTCAGTCTTGACAATCCTCCAATTCCACTTCCGCTGCACATTCGTTTTGCGCGACGGTGCACAGCGCTGGGTCCACTGTTTCCAACTCGGCGCCATGCTGCGATTTGCAAACTGGGCGGCAGGAACTGGAACAACCGCAGCCACCCGCCGCCCAATGAGCATGGGAGGTGGAGCGCACTGACAAGAAATCCGCCGATCCGGCGTGTGAGTTTGGCTTTGCCGGGGAGGGGGAGGGAGGGGGGGGGGGTCTGGTGGCGTGGGTTGTGGTGGCGTGGGGAAGGGGGGGGGGTCCGGTGGCGTGGGTTCTGGTGGCGTTGGGGTGGGGGGGGTTCCGGTGGCGTGGGTTTGCTTTGAAAAACCATTGGACTTCCTTAGAAACCGCCTCAGAACGCTTGGTTTGCCGGGGAAAGGGGGTTGGTGGCGTGGGGGGGGGTCCGGTAGCGTGGGTTCTGGTGGCGTGGGGGGGGGGTGCGGTGGCGTGGGCTTGCTTTCAGAACCAATAGGATTTCCTTAGAAATCGCCTAGGAGAACGCTTGGTTTGCTGGGGAGGGGGGGGAGGGGGTTTCCGGCGGTTTCCGGGGGTGTTTTTACTTCAGTACAGAAAGACCCTCTGTAGATGCGCTCAAGGAAATTTGGAACCCTCGGCCTCCAGAAGCCCCCAAGAGGCCCCCAAGAGGCATCCAGGAGGGTCCCAAGAGGTCCCAAGAGGCCCCCAAGAGTCCCCTAGCAGGAGCCAAGAGGCCCAGAAGAGACCCCCAAGAGGCCCAAGAGAGGCCCCGAGGGTGCCCACAACGGCCCCCAGGATGCCTCAAAAGTGTACCCATGAGGCCCCCGAGAGACTTACCACGAGATCCCAACGAACACTGAAGAGCCCGCCGACACCACCCAGGCACGGTGGCGGCATTGGCCGCCACCGTGCCTGGTCGTCAACCGCTGTCGTTAACCCGTTCATCGGTCGTCCTCGTAATGATCCCACTCGTCGACCGTTGGTCGTCCATTGTCGTCGTCATCGTCCATCCCAACAATTGCATCGAAAGCGTCCCGGATCGGCGGCACTGGCCGGAGGCCACTACAATCACAAAGAGACTCGGGCTGGCCACGGAGCGACGATATCCACGCCGTGTCCGCGGAAACAAACGTCTTGAACCAAACTGGCGAATTACGGCGAGGGGGAGGAGGAGGAGGGGGAGGAGGGGGAGGAGGAGAGGGAGGGGGAAGAGAACAAACTAGGTGCGCTCGCGTTATATCTGACGCCGTACCTCTTTCTGCCATCCCTAATCATGGCGTAGATATCCTCTCTATTCACACAGGTGGATATCGTAGCAGGGCAACAACAAATCATTGCATAACACGGTGTTGAAGATTAGCGCGTAGCCTGACATAGCATGACGTGGCGACGCCCCTAAGGGGGTGGGCTTTCTGCGGCCAAAGAAAACAACGAATCGACACCGAATGTGTAATCACTTCCGATGTATGCTTCGGGAGGCCATTCTGTAGATTTTGGGGCCTGTGTGGCAGGACCAAAAACCATGCCGTGGCACGGCGGTGGAAATAATGACGCCAGCGCTGCGGCGGGAGCACGATTCGGCACGGGCGGAAGCGTGGACATGAGGCCACCGCTGCAGCGGGAGAGGATTTGGAGGACGCGTAGCCTGACATAGCATGGCGTGGCGACGCCCCAAAGTGGGGAGGGGCTTCTGCGGCCCCAAAAAACTACGAATCGACACCGAATGTGTAATCACTTCCGATGGTCTCTTCGGGGGCCCACTGTCATGTCTCAGTGGTCTTCATGGCTCTCCGACTATCTCCTTTGTTGGGGCCTATTTGGAAGGACCGAAAACCATGCCGTGGCATGGCGCTGGAAACAATGACGCCAACTCTGCAGCGGGAACACGATTCGGAACGAGCGGAAAAACGGAAATGAGGCCAGCGCTGCAGCGGGAGAGGATTCGGAACGAACAGTCGCCCGAAAATGAGGCCAGCGCGTCAGCGAGAGCAGCATTGTGAAAACAACCCCAGCGAAAACCCAACTCCCGGGAATCCTGTGTAACAAACCAGTACGCGGAGAGGGGCCGAACATTTCCCGGACGTCGCCACGGGAGAGAGGATATCAGCATTCATATTGTGTAATTGTGAAGGAGGAAGAGGAGGAAGAGGAGGAGGAAGGGAGGAGTAGGAGGAATCTGTTTATAGCATCGATGGTCTCACCTCCACAGCTATGGCACTGGTAGTGAGGACCTGCCAGCACGACGCAGACAACGCTCCACTGAGGAGTGAGTCTGGACCCTCTGAATCAGGACGTTTGCAGGAGTTCCCTCCCCGCAAATTAGAATCGGTTCGGGCAGCTCTACAGCTGCGGTGGCTGGAAGATGTCGAGGCCGTCCAGGTCGAAATCGCCGAGCGGGTCAGTGTTTCCGCTGTCGGCCTACGGCGCCGCGAGCCGAGAGAACAGCGTTCCAGCATCCCCCGCTCCTGTTTTTGGCGGGCTCCCACTCGCATCAGCGCTGCAGCCGAGCAGGCGGCCTTTTCCAGAATCGACGGGGGATCCCCGCGGGATACACGACGGAGCGGCGAGACAGGGCAAAGGGTCCTTCCTTCATCTGCGGCGCCGAGCTCTTCGCCTGCACGTGCATTTTCCAACTTTCAAAGCCTTCGGTCGCAAGGGGGAAGGCACTCACGGTGTAGCTGCGCAGCCACCTCCTCGAAGTCCGCCTGGGCGGCCTCCGTCACCTCCGCGTCCTCGCCACCGAACGCAACTACGGCAGCGGCAGACGGGGCGAAAACACGCGCCTCCACAAGCAGCGCCCCCTTGAAACCAGTCACAGAGGTAGACTTCGCAGCCCGAGCCTCCAGTCGCTGGCCCTGCTGGGCACAGCGACGCACAGGAAGCCTCGCCGTCGCCACGTTGATGCCATGCGCGTCTGAGTGCAAGGCAACATGGCGGCGTAGGGCTTCGCGCCAGGAGGGTTCCCTCCCCTCCAGCTTCGCCTGCAGGGCAGGGAGCAAGGCCTGCAACCGCTGCGTAGCCTCGTCGCTGCCGACCAGGCTGGACAAGGCCATCTCGGCTGCCTCCATGCCGGCGCGGACACGCGAGAGCTCCGACGAAAGCTTCAAGATGGCGTGGTCCGCCGACCAGCGCGCCCAATCCCAACCAGCCTTCCGCTGAGTCGCTGAACGCCTTGGCGAACACTCCGCGCCGTCCCGTGACACATTCTCCCAGCGGCGGCAGAGCCTGCAGCAACTTCAACACCTGGGTGCCATGAGCAATTGGCTTGAGCAATGGGGGCTATTCGCTCGCTGACGAACGACATAAGCCATAATTGCTACAGAGGAGTCCAGAGGAGGAGCAGAAGCTGGAGGAGGAGGAGGAGGAGGAGGAGGAGGAGGAGGAGGAGGAGATCCGACGTAGCGAAAAAATGCAACATCATAAAAAGCATGGAGTCCTAGACCCCATCCTTCTGCATCGTTGTGCGAACCAGATCGATATGTGAGAGTCCCAGGGCCAGAAAAAAAAACGAAAACGCCCGGCACGAAAGAATTGAGACGCCAAGATCTTGGGGGGAGGAGATCTGCAGGGTCCCCCCCTCCCCGCGCCTGGTTCCGCTCCGGCCTCTCCGCGGCCGCCCGCTGCGGCGTGGGCACGGCGCGCAGGTCTGGCCGCGATGGCCCTGGGGCCCGCCGCAGCGTGGCGCCGAGCTCCTGTGGCCCGCCGCGGCAGGGGTCGCACCAGGATGGAGGGGGAGAGCACAGGTATAAAGACGCCACGATGAGGATAACTTCGGGTGAGGATCAACCTTGGGTGCCAATAGATGGGGGGGGGCGATACACGGGGAGGGGGAGAAGAAATGTGCCCTTCTCGAGCCCCAAAGGCCCCCCACTGGGGCCCGAAAGGGCTCCTTCAGGGGCCCTAAAGGACCCCTTTTCGGCAGTCCTCGCTGCCCCCCACCATCGCCCCTCCATTACGCGGCCTCCAAATAAATCGAGAACCTCTGAGATCCGGCGGCCTTCTCAGAGCGTTCTGAACTTACTAGATTATTTCTTCGCTCATTCCGGCCCATATTGCCTCGCCGCTTGGGGGCCGTGTTGGGTGCTCTTGGGGGCCTCTGGGAGACAGTTTTGAAGCCTCTTCGGGGCCGTGTTGGGGCTTCTTGAGGCTTCTTGGGGTGCCTCTTGGATCTTGGAGGCTTCTTGGGGCCTCCTGGGGGCCCCTTGGGGCTGAAGGCTGGACTTTTCGGTTCCTGGCCCCCGTCTTGGGCCTCTCTTGGAGCCGTTATGGGGCCATCTTGGGCCATACTGGGCGCCTCGTGGGCTGTCTTGGGGCCATCGTGGGCCGTCTTGGGGCCTTCTTGGGGGCCTCTTGGGACGTCTTGGAGCGTCGGGATGCCGAAAAGACGAGAAACTTCGCACATGCGAGAAATGCACGCTGTCCGAAAGGAATGAAACGATCTTTGCTTCTTGGGGCCCTCTTGGAGAGCCTCTTGAAGCTCTCCTGGTTTTTTTCGCAGCGTCGTCGGCCGTCTGGAGGCTATCTTAGGCGTCTTGGACCGATCGGTCGGCGACTCGGGGCCCTCTTGGACCGTCTTGGAGACTCTTGGGACCCTCCAGGAGCACTCTGGGGCGCCTGAAATCCGCGGACCGGCCGGGGTACTTTTCGTCCATGGGGTCCCCAAGACCTTCTCTGAGTCGGACCGGCCAGGGTACTTTCGTCCGGGGGTCCCCAGGGGCCGCCACGCGCGCGCGAACTAGACATATTGGTAACCTGTTGCCGTAGATCTTACCCTTAGGTCGGGCGTGTCCCGTGTCCCCCTCCAGGCGGATTTGGGAGGAACAAATAACGAACATGCAACAAATCATCAACCATAGACAAGAAATATTCAAAAAATAATACCTAGACTATTCTTTCACTATTTTTGAACATTCCTCCTGTAGAGGGACAGACCCGACTTAATCTTAGCACGCCTCTGGCCCGTTGGGCCAGCGAATATCCTCATCGTGGCCAGGTCCGAAGAGGGCAGGGAGCGGCCAGCACCGGATCGGATCACGGGCGCACCGCGCGAGTGGAGGCCGCTCGCGCGAGCCGAGGCCTCGGGAGAAGCTGCGAAGGCCGGGCCACGCGACGCGTGCCACAGCCCCTGGCCGCCTGGGTCCACGTGTGCCGGCCTCCCGCCTGCAGTCAGGCACTTTTGCTCAAGCGTGTCGCGGCGGCGGCCCCTGCGACACGCAACGCCTTGCGAGCGGATAGCGTGTCGCTCCGCTCCGCGGAAAAGGAGACGGTGACAAGCTCAGGACGTTGACGCCTGGGGACTGGGACGTGGATAGCGTGTCGCGCCGCAGGGTGGTGGGCCAGAGCCGGCGGCGCTAAACGCTAATCCAAAGATCCTGACCAGTACCTTGGACCAGATCGGGACGTGCGCCCCCGACATGGTCCGAGGTTGAACGCTGCGACCAACTCTGGATGCTTTCCTGCAACTGCGTTTCGCCGAAGGCGTTCCGGGGGTGCCCGGATCGCCCCGAACGGCCGCCAGAGACCTGAGTTATGACCCGCATGCGAAACCTCCTCCTCGCGCCGTGATGTTGTCCTTTGAGCCGTCACAAAACGGCTCGGGATGAAAAGCGGGCCCAGGGGAAAGGGTCGGGACCTCTGGTACCCCGTATGGATCAAATCAAGGCATCGGATGTCTGAGACCGCGTCGGCACGGAGTCGAAATCGCATCGGATCGGCCGCGCTGGGAGGCACAACATCGCCATGCACCGGGTCGTCAACAAAATCGGAGTCGAACCCTGAAATCGGACGTTGCGAAACATGTGCATCATCGCGAAGCATCACAATCCGATCCCTAGACTCCATCCTCCTGCGCCACGCTTCGAGCCGCAACGATCTGCGAGGGCCCCGGAGCCTGAAACCAGGCGAGCACGCCCGTTGTGAAAAAAAATGCAGCGTCCGAATCTGAGGGAATCGGATCGGGCGGGCCAGGATCGAGATCGAGTCGGGCCGATCGGATCGAAAAGAGCTGCTGGGATGCTCGGGGGTGCAACTCCTGAGGAGGCCCGGAGACAGGGCGCGCCCCGCGCGAGCGGAGGCCGCTCGCGCGGGCCGAGGCCTCGGGAGAACATCCGCGAGGGCTGGGCGCCACGCGTGCCACGGTCCTCTGGCCGCCTCGGTCCGCGTGTGCTGGCCTCCCGCCCGCAGAGGGTCCTCATCTCAGGGCGACGAGATCTACGCACATCCTGGGCCCAGCAGCGGTGCGTACGCCCTCCTGGCATGGCCAGGGAGGCATCTGCACACCGCACGTGGGCCCAAGACTGGCCAGGCCCAGGGGAGCGTGTACCTCTCGTTGCCCTGCATGTGGTCGTCTGCGCGACCTTCGGGAGGCGAAACTCTGCCGCGCGCGGCGCCCAGCAGCTCGAGCCGTGCGAGGACCGCGCACCAACCGTCGACCCGACGAGCCGCAGCATGCAGGAAACAGAGAGGCCCTGGCTCACAGGCGCTTCTGCATCCTCCAAAGGCCCTGCCAAACCAGTCGCTACTCAGTCGCTACCCTGTTCTTCCTCAACGCAGCATCAACACGGTGTTAGCTCGAGCGCGTGCCGTTCGCATCACGAACCAAATGCAAAAAGATCGCGAGGGAGATCCGCAACCCCAATGGAAAAGGGGTGACGGCCGATGCTGCGTTGCAACATCTCGGACAATCACCACCGGAACCCTGGACCCCCATCTTCCTGCGCCACTGTTCACGCCGGATCGATTGGCGAGGGCACCAGGGCCCGACACAATGGAAAAGCACGCTTTGACAAAATGCATCGCCCGGATCTGACGGTTCGAGTGGGGGATCGACTACAGAATTGATGTACCCCAAATGTTTCTTCGAATATCAAAACATATACGGGGCATTATGTGGATATTTTCGTAGACTAGACGAGGGAAATCGATTTGGAGGTAAATCAATTCTGCAATCGATCCCCTACTCGAGCGGTTTCTGAACCGTCCAGTCCTCCCGCCAGCCAATCTCTGCTCTGTGCTCGATCTCGAGTTTCGTCACGGCCGCTCAGGTGGGGCATCGTGCCCACCGCGCCTCCAGAGAGAGGCTCGCCGCCCTCCTCCAGCACCCTTGGCCGGAGAGGCCCGTTTCCAGCTCGACGTCCCCCCTGCTTCTTGTCAGCGCCCTGCGTTTTGTCGGGGGGGGGGGGCTTTGGACCCAACTTCTGAACAGGAGAGATTTCTATCCATACAGTCGGGCCGCTGAAACAAGGAGCGCCAAATAAAAAACGAAGCCCCTTGCAGGCCAAAAGAATCGCCGTCGTTCGCGAGGAGGGCTGGAGGAACAGCCATGGGAGGACCTAGGGAACATCGAGCCCCTTCCGACCCCAAACTGTTCCTTATTTCAGCGTATTGACCGTATCCACTGCGTCCTGGACTTTCTGGGAAGGGGCGCCCAAGGACCAAGATCTTCTTCTGTCTCTTCTGCGCTTCGAGTGTCCGGGGAAGAGCGCCCGAAGCTCCAAGACGCAGTGGGCATGCATGCGCATCTTGCCCACGCCCTAGAACGTCTACATCATGCGTAAACCCGCAAGACAGAGACGGAGGCGATGCACGGTAAGTCAGAACAGCTTAGAGCGAGCGCGGCGCGCGGCGCAGTGGTGCTGTTTCGTGCGGTGCTTAGCCGACCTCCCCATACTGAAATGGTCTCTCGCGGTGTGAAACGGTGTCTGGCCGTTACTGCGCGCAGCAAGCTCAAATTCGAACACAGCCCAAGACGCTCTTGAGTCGAAGAGGGATGAGCTCTGGCAGGGCCAGTCGCCGACAAGCTGCCGGACGGCATCACACTCGAAGTCGTGCCGCTGGTCCGCATTCGAAGTCCGTACATATAGCAGGGATGGCGAACAGGCTCGTGTATTCGACGAGTAGTAAAGCAGCCATGGCACCACGTCCTCAAGATCAGTGTGTGCGCTGCGGCCCAGCAACAGAGGATAGGCTCGCGATATCAGCAACAACATCAGCGACCGACAACGTGTCATCGTTTGTGAAACTCTGCCAACGCTGTAAGACCAGCGCTGGCCAGTCGGACAAGCACCACTCCTGTAGTGCGGCGGCCTGGAGAGAACGCTGAGCGCGAAAGCGTGGTAAACTCCCGGCCTGGCAATCGCGGCGGACAAATGCAATACGTCCAAAACCACGGCGCTGCCACGATGGATGAAAATCCGCAGCACGCTCCAGATTCAGGGCCAGCATCGGAGACTTCCACCAGTTGTGAGTGAGCCAATCACGCGAATGCCGCCCATATTGTCCTCAGCCAGTGTCTCGTGGTGGCTAGCGCTCCCCGCCGAGAGGTGCGAGTATTGAGGGCGAAGCGGGTCATGATGGACAGGCTGTAGCACTCAAGAGGCGTGGGCCTCGAAAAGCCCAGCTGGTCGATGAAGAAGTCAGCCCTGGGGGGAACAGCCTCGCGTGAAAAGCGGAATAGCTTGGCTGGTGGAGCCCTGGTGGTTGAAAGCAGTGCGGACGTGCCTGTGAACTGCAGCTTGTAGCTTAAGACTGTATAAATGCGGAACCTGTATTCGATGATGGTTTGCGTCTTGCAAGTGTGCGATGATCCGATCAACGAGACTGGGTGCAAGAACTTGGTGCAAGGTTTGGTCTATTGCGTAGCCCCTGCGCCGAGTCCGACAATCATGCCGAAATATTAGAAGAACGGCTCAGC